CCACCACCACCACCACCACCACCACCACCACCACCACCACCACCACCTTCACCACCACCACCACCACCACCACCACGACCACCACGACCACCACGAACAACAGCAACAACGACCACAACAACAACAACAACAACAACCACAACCACAACAACAACGACGACGACTAACAAGGATGACCGACAACGATCAACAAACAAGCAAAAAACCACGACAACAACAACAACAACACCACCACCACCACCACCACCACCCATTGACAAGCTACGTCACACCGACAGCTATCTGTTGCTGCACAGTGACGAAGCTGGTCAGTGCATGGATTTAAGTTTCAGTGGCACGTCAGCTGGTGGCACAAAGAAAGGGGAGCACGTGGATCTCACAATGTTCCTGGACGCAGCGCATGGAGATGAGTTCAGCCACACCACCATGCTTGACCGCAAGCGCGCCGCACGGCGTGAGCCAACCCACCGTTTGGATCCGGTGCAGGAGCCACCTCCGATGACGGTGTCCACAAACATGGAGGTGTCTTGTTTGCAGCAGGAGCTCTATTTCTTACAGTACTGGTGTTTGGCAGCTTTCACCAAACCCATTGGTTTGGTTCAGCGATGCTTGTTCAGTTTCGGCCGTGCCTTGCCAGCGCCCGAACCATCTAGGAACGCCTTCTGGCGGCAAGTTTTTTTGCCCTTTCTGGAGAGCATCTTTCAGTTCACACTAACGACATTTGGTCCGAAAGCGCCAGAAGCTACGACCCAGCCCCTGTGCATCGCGCCTGAGCAGGAACCACCGGGTACCTTGTGTTTTTGCGGCAGTGGGTTTACGCAAACTGACATGTTTTTACAGCGAATGGCTTTGACGGTTTTGCGGTGTTCTTTGTCGGTGTAATTGTGTGACACGAGTACGTGCTTTCAAATCCAGCGGTGGGCAATGGTAGCCAGAAATTCAAACGAAAGCTGACAAACAAACACGTGAAAGGGCGCCGGGCAGGGAACACATTGTCCAGGACTGAAAACACCCAAACCTGGGAACCAAAAACACCAACACAGGAGCTGGGCAAGGAAAACACCAATCCAGGAACTGAAAACACCAAGACCTGGGAACCAGAAACACCACGGGAACCGAAAAAAACCAATCTGGGAAAAGGAAACACCACGGGAAGGGAAAACACCAATCTGGGAACTGAAAACACCCAACCCCTAGAACCTCTGGACAACCCTCTCCGCAACAAAAAACGTCTACCCCCCACCGAACTAGCAAGAATCTTCTATTCCCCCGCTGTGACCAGGAGTCCTACGGATCGGCTTCGGCTTCGGCGCGCCTTCCAGGCCAGTGATGGGGCAAATCCTGGCGTGGCGCTGGGCGGAAGCCGCCCCCAATGACCCCAGCAGATTGGGAGCTGGTTTGGTCATCGATGTCTACACAGGGGCTTCGAACTGGCGGTTCTCCTTTTTCATACGTAGTTCAACCACATAGTTGGTGAGTAGCCATCAAAGCACTGGCGCCACCTGCTCGAACTCCGAACAACCCAGGTTCGCGAACTCAGCTTCTCATATCCCCGTACCAGTCGTCAGTCAAAAGCTCTTGAACCCAGCAAAACACCACTTCTGTCTTCTTCACTCCTGAACATCCCTTTAACCCTCTCCTCTGATCGGTCGTCACCGGCACAGCCGTTCATCGCCACACCCCACACCCACCACACCAGGGCCACCTGCCCTCCGGCCGCGGCTTCGCCGGCGGCGCTTTTGGCACGGGCGGCGTCTCGGCGAGCTTCACGTGCTGCCTTGCCGTCGCGGCTGTCTCCGCGTGGTCTCGGTGCTCCGTTCGTTGCGCAGCTTCGGCTGTTTGAACATGGAAGTTCTTAGAGGGAAGGGGTCGGAGTGGGGGAGCTGATAGAATGGGGGCTGAATCCCAGCAACCATTGGTTTTCACTGGATGTTAGACCATAAAATACAATACAACACCAGGTCATGTCTGGTCAACCTTTCTTGGATAATGGTCTGCACGAAGCCAGGCTGGTTCGTCCATCGCTTTCGGAATAGCGATTCTCATGATCAAAACCGAAGGGGATGGTTTCTTGGCACCGAAAATGTGGCGCGAATTGGCAGATGTGGCACCTCCCTGCGGAGGAAGGAGCAGGGTGCCGGATTGCCAGCAGTTCCATCGTCTCGCGGTGCTGAGCTCGGAGAAAAGGATCGGGGGTGCCCTTCTGGGCACCATGCACTGTGCTTGGGTCAAGTCAAGTCCTCGAATCCCAAAGAAAACCCGGTTTTTCTCGATGTGGATGTGAACGGCACCATCGATCGATCAATCACTGCCGAAATCGAAACAGAACCGATCTTCGGCGTGCGTGCCGAGCTTCAGCCGAGTTCCAAGGACCGTTCACCCGTGCTTGGACACTTTGACCTATTTTGCACCTGACGGTGAGGCGCCCAGATCCGTCACTGCCATCAAAAGCCGGCCTGTGCTTGCAGCACCACATGCTTTCTTCGAAAGCACAAGCGCTGATGGCACGCTTGGCAGTCGGAATGCACAAAGAATATCTGAAGAGGTGTCGTGCATTCGCAGTTCTGTTGGCTACCCACGTGGTAATGGAATATCCATAAATCTCTGAATCAATGAAGCAGTCTGTGGCCTTCATGCAGGGTGCCAGGCTTCCACAAGGGAAACATCAAAATCTACACATGGTGGGTTGGGTCAATGGATGTTCACAGCAGCATGGATGTTCAACGAGTGGAACTTGCCACAGCCGAGTTAGTCTGCCCAACTGTGTCCAACCCAACTCGCGAGTTCAAATCATAATGGTCAATACCTGATGCTGCATGCCAGTCTAGAGTCTGTTTGTTCCAACATCACCCCGCAAAAGTCGTCAAAGCAATGGATGTTCCCAAACCAAAATCGGATTCTTCACCCAAAAGCATCCAAAAAGCTGCTGAGGTCTGCTTAGGTCACACTATTGACCTTAGAGCTGAGCCAAAACAGCAGATCCCTGGAGCTGAACAAGAAGCTTCGGCGCACATCGCCAGCGGAGAAGCGGCTCGGCACTTTCTTCGTGCCCTTGAAGGCGGATCACGAGATGAGGGCGGATCTCCTCTGAAACGGGTCGTCCCAAAAAACCACCTCCTTTGGAGCCACCCTGAATTTGAAGCCTGGTCCCTGTTGGCCAGGGGGGAGGAGTTGTTTTGAAGGCCGGCCTTGGTGGGCCAGAATCGGACCCCAATGAGGCTGCCATTGGGTCACCGTCCTTTGCTTTCGGGGTGGGCGGAGGCACCGGAGAGTTGGTGCGAGACAGAGACCGAGCGGATTCTTCATCATAGGAGGATCAACCAATCCCCTCCAAAAAAAGGTGGCTTTCGCTCCCGATCCCCCCCCACATCGCCCAGCTCCAGGACATCTCCTGCTGGACATCTCTTTCCAGGTCCCACAAGCTGCGCAGTGGCCCCTCATTGCTTGAAACAAAGGGGCACCACTCATCTCCAAGCCCGCAAAAGTGGAAAAACGGATCCAAGGTGGAAAGAACTGGCACCACTCCTTCCATTGCGGCGGCACAGCAGTGGAAAAAAAACCGGTTTAGAACCGCTTTGGGCGTTCGAACCAAGTCCGCCAGTCCTCCGTCTCCTCCCCCGACCTCCGTCGTGCACCAAGCAGGCCAACGCCAAGAGCCTTGGACACTGAGCCCAGGTCGGGCGTTCGCATGGGGGTGTCAACGAAGTGGCGAAAGGTGGAGAGGTGGAGACGGGTGGAGAGGTGGTACACTTTGCGGGTGGTAAAAGGGAGGATGCCAGACATCTCAGATGGAATATCTACTGTTGAAGTGCGGGCTCAAGTTCAAGTGCGGCGGTCTTCGATTCTGTACATGGAGTGTCTGGGTCATGAAAAACTGGACTCCAAACAGCCGACCGAGTCAGTTCTTGTGTGTTCGTCACCTTCGACACCTTCGACCGGTCCGACCTTGAGTGGTGGTTCGTCCGGACCCGTTCGTCACCACGGGAAGACGACGGCCGAGGCGATTGATGCGTCGTGACCCGTCCTGGTTCTTCGACCTTCCAATGCTGCACATGTGCGGTCCGCCGCTGTTGTGTTGCGCAATGGCTGGAACTGCAGGCATGCCAACTGGTGCTTAGTTAGTAGAGAATAGGGGAATGGAGATCCTATAAGCTATCTATAGATTCTATAGTGGAGGGTCTGTCTTCCCTCATTCCCTGCTAAGCACCAGTCGGCATGAGGGGAAAACCAAAGAGACAACCCACCCTGCTCCACCCGAAACACCCCACGTAGTAACAACGCTCAGAGTGGCGAAGAAGCAGCCAGAACTCTCCAAAACATGCCATAATATCATATACCAGCAGTCACATGTCGGGGTGCCGAACTTGGTACGGGTGGTGCCCTTGTCACATCCACTCATTTGGGACTCAAAACCATCCCTTTGTGACTGCTGGTACTTGCTGTTAGCCATATGCCATACTTGCTGGCTGGCACTGAGGAGTTGCTTCCTACCTATCGAACTCTTGAGTTCCTGGCCCCTGTCGTTGCAGAGCCTTCCGCGCAGAGTGCCTGGCTGCGTCTCGGTCGTGGCGTTAGACCTCTACCAGGTGCCTTTCCTCTACAAGGTGTCTATACATTGCCTCATAAAGAGGTGATTCGGGGTGTCCCAAAACCACCAGACGAACAGGGTTAGTATAGCGCTAGCTAAACATGCTAATCCTGCACCACCTGCGGGGGAACGACTACCGTCCGGCTGCGTGTTGTAGTTGGACTCGACAGCAGCTCTCTAGCTCAAGTCTCTAGCGTGAGTCAGGGCAGCTTGAAAAGCGGGAGCGCACCTGGTCCGGAAAAACTCCATGAGCTTTGCGAGGACTAGCTCCTACTTGCTCCTGCTAGGGGCGCCCAGTTGATGTCCCGTACGCCTCGTGCCCGTGGGTAAAGATGCTTCTCCTTTAAAGGTTGCTTTTTTTGGCTTCAAAGGCTTCAAAGACGACGAGTTCGGGTTCCGAAGGTCGACTAGTGAAGTCTTGGAAGGTCGAGGTCGAGCAGTCCCACGCCTTGCAAGACCCTTAAATCAATGGTGGTTGGAATCTTGGGAAAGTCATTGAGGTCAAGTGACTGTAAATAGGACCTGTCACATAGGACCCATCACCTGGGGTACCGAACTGGGATAGCCTACTTCGGGTTCTTCAACCTGTTGGAAAGTCATTGAACTGTCTATTTGTGCGATGAAAACATGGTTTTTCTTCACATCACTACACCTGTGGTCGGATCTGTGGTGTGCCGCAGCCTATCGGATCCAGTCATTTGGGTGGCCACAGAACAAAGGTTCTTCTTGGCGCATGGACACTCTCAAAGGTGTTCCCGTGGCCTCCTCCCGCTGCGCAGAACCTGCCCCTCCTCCCGTCATCCGCCTGCCCCCCCCTGCTGTGGGCCCGGGCTGCCTGCTGGCAGAGTACTCCCAGCCCCCCCTCCCGCCTTTGCAGCCCCAAACAAAGGCCACGCACTGCGCCCGCCTGCACGAAGGAGGAGGCCTGAGCTTGGTCAAGCAGCTGTCGTAGTCGATGTCCGCCCAGAAACCGTGTCACATACCATCGCCCGCGATCCAGGTTTAAACCTCTCCCCGCGATCCCGTCACCACACCCCTGCGTTTCCTTTGCCGGACCTTCGGCCGGTGCTTGGAGTCACGGATTTCAGTCCAGTGGGGACTGTGTTGGACACCTCCACACCTCCCCGGCCTCCCAGCCTCCCGGCGCCGGGTCAGTGTTCCTTGCCAGACGCCCAAGGCACAATCTCCACGTGTCCCACGGCGAGCAATGCCACGAGCTGCGAGAGCAGCTCGAAGCTCTGTGGCCTCGGGGATCGAGACATGACGAGAAATGCCATGAGCCTTTTAGGGGCGGCGAAGTAGGAGAAGTGGAAGAAGTGGGGCTTCTAGAGTGGTCCCCAAACAGATAGAAGAACTGTAGATCTCCAGGTCGAAATAAATGGATTGGACCCCCTGCGTTAGAAACGCGAGCCGCTGGGGATCTGTGGAAGTTGAAGATGTCCAGAACGGGCCTGGTCTTAAACGTGAAGTCTTCGTCCTGAGGTCTTGAACCAGCTGCATTTCACGGACCGAACTCCCTGTTGCTCCCAGAAACCACGTGGTTTTAACGGACTTGGGAGGCGTTTTTTCGGGTCCAAGAGAGGGTTCCTTCGATCTGCGCTGTTCTCGTCCATGGCATCAATCCCCAGTGCTCTCGATCTAAGCCGTTCCGTGAGGCCCAATAAGAGATCACCGACCTCCGCGAGAAGACCTCCATGGATGGCACCCCTCCAGACCGGCTGGATTCCGGGAACCTCTCCGGTGCCCACCGAGGTCAAATGCTCGGGAAGAACTGGATTCCGGGCATGTTGCTTCTGCTTGTTTTGTTCTGCCGAACCCTCCCAAAGATGCGACGTGGTGAGTTCACCCGTCCCGGATCCTCATACAGCGCCTTCGGCGCCCCTTCTGCGCCCCTTCTCGCCGTGAGAGTTCGGGGCGGCGTGAGACACGCGCTGGGGAACCCGGACGAATCGTCGTGTGACAGGGACTTGCTGAGGGTTCCATAGAGCTGGGGCACCTGCATCGTTCGGCCCGTGGCATGAGCCCCAGCATGTCCCAGCTCCGTTTTCTGAAGTGTTTTTGGAGAAACCCTGCATCAACTGCATTGAAGGATTCTCTGTTGAATTATGATGTTTGTTCATCATTCGTGATGGCAAGCCTAACCACTGGAGAAGCAGTGGATGTTGTCTTTTTGCATGGGTCAACAGTATGTCATGTCCTCCAAAAAAACAGAGCCCGTATGTCATGTCCTCCAAAAAACCAGAGCCTTTACAGTAACATGTGGTCGCTCTTTTTGGAACACCATGCTGTGCCAACGCAACGGCCAAGAACCTCTGTTTCCAGCTCAGCAGGTCAAGGGGAAGGAGCCAGCTTTGGGCAAACAGTTGGAATTGAAGGTGAAAACCGGTCGGAAGATCCTCCCATGCAGAAAAACACATATTCCGGCAAGAGACCGAAAGGCGTTTCTACAACAAACAAGGGTGAATAGGCACGAACAAGCGCACTGTCTGCCTCTAGAGCACATGACATGAGAGCACACATATCAAAGCAAAATGGTTGAGCACACACAAAGAGAACACATATGAGAGCAAACGCAAGAGAGCACACGTAAGGGAGCACACATGTGTGAACAAACACATGAGAGCACGCATAGGTGAGCAAACACGTTGAGAGCTATATACATATACTGTATGTGAAAACATACACCCCTCACCCATCCTATCATTCAAGGAACTACAAGACCTAAAGCAGGCGC